GCGTAAGTGAGATCCATGGTATGTATCATGAGTAATTGGGTATAAGATAATGGGTCCGATTGCTTATGTGTTTCCTCAATTTTACATTATTTGGCAGCAAACAACTTTGAGAGAAAAATTGTCACCATTTGTTCCTGGGATCATCGGTTGGCTGTTTCAATTCATTGATTCAGCCCCTCGACAGATTGGGTACGTGTTGTATGATCTATGCTTAGGTGTAGAGGTACTTGTTAGGTAGTTATTGAGTCAAAAAGTATATCTTTTTTGCAGTGGTAGCAAGTGTGGAGTGTTTGTTATGAAGTACATGGATTGCATCGCCCAGGGTTCACATTTTGACTTTGATCTAGTGAGTACATGTGAATTTCATTTGCTAGCACATGCCTATATGTCTCATGTTAATACTAATATGTAGTATGTTTGCTGTAGGGAAATATAGATGTTATTAGGTAGCAGATAGGGGCTCAACTCATTCGGAACCATATTCCATAAATTGAAGATCTTACGAGGATGATTGGAAACCAATTTATTTTTCCTTTCTCTTACCTTACGACTTTGAGCATATATTAACAATTGAAATTTTTGTATTAGAGCTAATGATTGGTCAGCTCTAACTACATAAATTTACAGATGAAAGGCATAAAGTAATGCAAAAAGCAATTTTTTTATAGATATTGCCTTGAAACCTTACGATCAAATATTTGCTCAAAATGTAGCATCACAAAGCAATGTGAAGTAGCAATTAGGAGTGACTGGCCTCCGAGCGATTCAGTCAATTCACAAAAATGGTCCCAGAGGGGGGGGGGCACAGGGATAGTCGGGCAGCAGAACTACTACCACAAGGGTAGTCGGGAGGAGGAACCACCTCCATGGGGTGGGGGGAGGTCCCCGATAAGTAACCATATGAGGCGAAGATGCCCCGGGCCAATGGGGAAGGTTAACAGAGGGAAATAGTGCTTTTGCAGAACCACCGTTTCCCATCGATGGCCTGAAACATAGGACCGATGGGTTATCCGAACGTGTCGGGATGCTTGGTGGGTGAGTAGAAGTGGGGGGAATGCTTTTGGTGGCCATTGCACCCCTCTGCACCCGTTGGATCATCCTCCGGGTGATTCGGCCAATTCCCATAAATGGTCAAGGAGGGGGGTGTGGGGGTAGTCGGGCGGAGGAACCACCTCCATGGGGTGTGGGGAGGTCCACTATAAGTACCCAGATGAGGTGGAGAAGCCCCGGGCCAACAGGGAAGGCTGACAGTGGAAAGTGGTGCTTTTGCAAAACAACTGTTTCCCATCATCAACCCAAGACATAAGGCCAATGGGCAATCAAAAGGTGTTGGGATGATTGGTGGGTGAGTGGTAGTAGGGGGGAGTGGGTTTGGTGGCCACTCCACCCCTCCACACCCGTTGGATCAGCCTCCAGGTGATTCGGCCAATTCCCAAAAACGGTACCAGAGGGGGGTGCGGGGGTAGTCGGGCAGTGGTACCACCTTCACGGGGTGGGGGGAGATCCCCTATAAGTACCTAGATGAGGCGGAGAGGCCCCGGGCCAATGGGGAAGGCTAACGATGGGAAATGGTGATTTTGCAGAACCACCGTTTCCCACTGTCGGCTCGGGCCATCGGGTCGATGGGCGATTGGAAGATGTTGTGATGCTCGGTGGGTGAGTGATAGCATGGGGGAGTGGGTTTGGTAGCCATCGCACCCCTTCGCACCCGCCAGATTGGCTTTCGGGCGATTCAGCCAATTCCCAGAAATGGTCCCAGAGGGGGACGCAGGGGTAGTCGAGCGGAGGAACTACCTCCACGGGGTGGGGGGAGGTCCCCTATAAGTACCCAGACAAGGCGGAGACGCCCCAGGCCAACGGGAAAGGCTGACGGTAGAAAACAATGCTTTTGTAGAACCACCGTTTCCCACCGTCAGCCCAGGCCATTGGGCCAATGAGCGGTTGGAAGGTGTCGAAATGCTCGATGGGTGAGTGATAGTAGGGTGGAGTGGATTTGGTGACCATCACACCCCTCCGCAGCCGCCGGATCGGCCTCTGGGCGATTCGGCCAACCCCTAGAAACGGTCTCGAAGGGGGGGGCACGGGGGTAGTCGGGCAGCGGAACCACCTCCATGTCATGGGGGGAGATCCCCTATAAGTACCCAGATGAGGTGGAGACACCCCAGGCCAACGGGGGAGGCCGGTGGTGGGAAATGGGGCTTTTGTAGAACCACCATTTCTCACTGTCGACCCGGGTCATCAAGCCAATGGAAGATCGAAAGGTGTCGGGATGCTCAGTGGGTGAGTGGCAATAAGGGGGAGTGGGTTTGGTGGCCATCACACCCCTCCGCACCTGTCAGATTGGCCTCTGTGCGATTCGGCCAATTCCTAGAAACGGTTCCAAAGGGAGAGCATGAGGGTAGTCGAGCAGCGGACCACATGCACAGGGAGGGGAGTGCTCCCCTGGACGTACCAACAATTATCAAAAGTACACAATTTCTGTCATTAAATCTTAAAATTTCTAGATATGGAAGATACACTTAGTAACATTAACATTTTCAGATAGGGAGAATACAACTACTTGAAGGGATGAGAGATCCATCCTATGGGCGCCCAAAGATTGCGGAATAAGGGGCGAATTTCAAAAATTTTATCTCTCCCTTCAACTGGGAATCGTATTCCCCATTTAGAAAATCATATTTTCAAGGATCAATCTTGAACCATAAACTGAACCAG